TTGTTGTTTGGCTGGTATAGTCACGTTTCTATATTTAGATACAAATTACTAACTTAAATGGAAATGAGATTGATTGTGATATATATGTTTTCTTTTGCTTTTGACAGCTTTGGGATCTGGTTTACCTCTCCTAAATCCGTACAAGCTTAAAAGTGCAAATTTTACACATGGTGTGAATTTTGCAGTAGCTGGAGCTACTGCTTTATCAGCTCAAGTCATGGCTAAGAAGAAGATTGTTAATGCAGCCACCAATAGCTCATTAAGTGTGCAGCTTGCTTGGATGTCTTCTCATTTTAAAACATCCACAGGTGGTAATTAATTTGCTGAAGAGAAATCTGTTTTTTTGGCTACTCTTAAAAATAATAGTCGACAAAATATCTTTTCTATATGTGTATTATATACAAAAATAATACATATTTAATACGCTTTTTAGTTAGCGAATACAATTAATTTCGGTCGACCGGCCAATTTTGTATTTTGCCTCGCTGAAGAGAAACTTCCAAGGAAATGGTGTTGCGTGTTTACTTGCTTGGTCTCTCCCTATAAATTAATTAACGGCAAGCAAGTTTAAATGATCTTTTTCCTACCCGTGGAATTTTCCTGGATATGTTGTTATTGTTGTTGAGTTTAAATGATCTTTTTCTTGTTCTTGCTAGATGTCGCAACAAAATTAAAGAAGGCTCTTTTCCTAGTTGGAGAAGTAGGAGGAAATGATTTCAACCATGGCTTATTGCAAGATAAAAGGATGGAAGAGTTGCGAAATATGGTGCCAGAAATTGTTCAGACCATCATTCATGGTGTTAGAGTGAGTTTAATTATTTTGCTGTTACATACCTCTTTTCTTTCATGATTATTAGAGTACCTTTATTTGGTTGAAATTTGTTTTCTAATGATAAGTTGCTTCTTTTCAGAGGGTGATTGGTTTTGGGGCTACTCGAATTGTAGTTCCTGGCAATTTTCCAATTGGTTGTTTACCAATTTACCTAACGAAATTCAGGACCGACAACTCAACTGCCTACGATGAGCACCATTGCTTGAAAGATCTGAATAATTTTGCAGTATTCTACAATCAACATTTGCAACAAGCCATTCAAAAGCTGAAGAAAAGGTATTCAAAAATTACACTGATTTATGGTGACTACTACAATGCCTATCTCTGGGTTCTACGCAATGCTGTCACTCTTGGTAAGGGCTCAAAAAATTGGTTCTTCTTTTTGTAAATTAATTCATTTCCCACCTATTTCAATTTCTTTCTCTGCAGTCAATTGTTAAAATGCACTTATTTATCAAAAAGTATATTATGACAAAATTTCAAACTACACATGTATGTATATATATATATATATATTGAAATGTATATGCATTTACCAACTTTCTTGATGATTGAAATATAATTTTTCAGGATTTGACAAAAACTCTCTGCAGAAAGCTTGTTGTGGAATAGGAGGAGGAGACTATAATTTTGACATACGTAAATTATGTGGATCTCCAGGAGTGCCAATCTGTGCTGACCCTAGTACCTACATCGGTTGGGATGGAATTCATTTGACACAACAAGCATACAAATGGTTGTCTAGATGGCTAATTAATGACATGTTACCCAAATTGAACTGCCAATAAATTTTAAGTTCTAAGCTCTAAATTTCTTGCCAAGGTGCAACAATAAATCTTTCTTTTAATCTAATATTCCAATGGAATTGTTTAAGTGATAAATACATTTACCTTCAATATTTTATACATCTACTTCTCAGAACCAATAAGGAATTGCTTCTTTTTATTCATCTTTTAGATATTTCCATGTTTCATAATTTTAAGGGGTTCGTGTCAAAAATTCAGACGTTAAATTTTGGAATATGTTGCTTTAAAGTTTATGAAACTAATAACTACTCATACAATTTAGAAACTTATAAATGCAAAGCGTTTCCTCTGCTGAAATCCCTGATTAATATTAGATACTAGCGAATTAATTTAATATCATGCATAAAAAATAGCTTATCCCAATTTTCATGATCATAACGTATCAAATTTGCCGTTTAGATGTGTTAAAATTAAACTATGCTAAAAAATGAGCCTAACCTGCTCACGAGGAATAAGCCTCCTCCTTTCAACTTGTGGAAGAGAACGCAATGTTCGTCTTGGTTCGTCCATCCATGCCTTCGTTCTCAAAGACCCACAATTTGTTTATTTAGGATATCAGTTTAATACCCAGAATGCGCTTGTAGTATGGAACTCTCTTCTGACAATGTATGCCAGATGTGGTAGGACATATGATGCTGCCCAAGTGTTTGATGAAATGCCCATGAAAGATACTGTTTCATGGAACTCAATTATTTCAGGATTTGTGAATAATGGGAATTTTAACATGGGATTTGGGTACTTCAAAGAAATGATGGGTTCTGGTTGTTTTAAGTTTGATCATGCCAGTTTGACTACGATTTTATCAGCTTGTGATGGGCGTGGTTTCCTTAGTCTTAACAAGATGATACATGGGTTGGTTGTTTTGAGCGGCATGGAGAGGGAAATATCTGTTAGTAACGCATTGGTTACTTCTTATTTTCGATGCGGATGTGCTAATTCGGGCAGGCAGGTTTTTGATGAGATGGATGTGAGGAATGTTATCTCTTGGACAGCTGTGATTTCAGGTCTTGCTCAAAATGAGTTTTGTGAGGAAAGCTTGGATTTGTTTGTGGAGATGCAAGGTGCTGTCGTTGTGCCTAATTATTTGACATACTTAAGTGCACTATTGGCATGTTCTGGCATCAAGGCACTCGGGGAGGCTCGTCAAATTCATGGGATTGTTTGGAAGTTGGGGTTTCATTCAGATTTATGTATAGAGAGTGCATTGATGGATGTGTATTCCAAGTGTGGCAGTGTACAAGATGCTTGGCAGATGTTTGAGTCTGCGGAGGTTCTTGACACAATTGCTATGACAGTTATGCTTGTGGGGTTTGCCCAAAATGGATACGAAGAAGAGGCTTTGCAGATTTTTGTGAAAATGGTAAAATCAGGGGTTGACATTGACCCTGATGTAGTGTCAGCCGTTCTTGGTGTCTTTGGTAGCGATACTTCTTTGGGTCTTGGTAGGCAAGTGCACTCATTAATCATCAAGAAAGGTTTCATTTCAAATTCGTTTGTAAGTAATGGGCTTATTAACATGTATTCTAAGTGCGGTCAACTGGAGGAATCTGTTGAAATCTTTAATAGTATAGCTCGAAGAAATTCAGTCTCTTGGAATTCCATAATTGCAGCCTATGCTCGTCATGGGAATGGCTATAGGGCACTCCAGTTATACGAAGAGATGAGGTCAGATGGTGTAGATCCAACTGATGTTACATTCATCTCTCTGCTTCATGCTTGTAGTCATGTAGGGCTAGTAAATAAGGGTATGGAATTCTTTGAATCTATGCAGAGCATCTATGGGATGACTCCAAGAATGGAGCATTATGCTGCTGTAGTTGACTTGCTTGGTCGAGCTGGACTCCTAAGTGAAGCCAAGAGTTTCATTGAGGGGCTAACAGTTAAGCCAGACATACTTATTTGGCAGGCATTACTTGGTGCCTGTAGTATTCATGGTGATGCTGAGATGGGAAAATATGCAGCTGATCAATGGGTCTTGGTTTCACCTGATAATCCTGTGCCATATGTTCTACTGGCAAACATATATTCTTCCAGGGGGCGATGGAAAGATAGAGCTAGAACCATAAAGAAAATGAAGGAAATGGGAGTGGCAAAGGAGACAGGGACAAGCTGGATAGAGATTGAGAAGGAAGTCCATAGTTTCGTCGTTGCGGATCAAATGCATCCCAGAGCCATGATCATTTATTCCACATTGTCGGAGTTGTTTAGACACATGAGAGATGAAGGGTATGTACCAGATAATAGGTTAATTCTGTATTACATGGACAGTGATGAGAAGGAATTTTCAGTCGATTTGCGAGATACCTCTGAACTTTTGTGCAGCATGTGGTAGTCATTTGTGAACTGGTGGCTGACCAATGCAATGTAATATATGTAACATGATTGATTGTTGCGAATTGCGACCATGAATATGTTTTAAATTATATTATGAAATGGGGAATAGGGGAAATACCTTTTGAGAATTGGTAATTGTATTGATAAATAGCACCAAGAATGCAAGAAAAGTATTTACAGACAAAAGTAAAATGCCCCTTCTCTTAGAGGTATCCTACCAGATGTATCAGTTCCTCCGTTCACTATTAAAATTCAGTTCAAGGTAAATAGGGGAAATACTTACTTTTGGCTGAAAATGCCAAAAACCTTGACACACATCATTAGGTGCTTCTTTTTATTTGTCTCACGAGGAAAGAAGACATTACTTTCTTTCAATATGAGCATTACCTTTTCCAAGGATTAGATGCTGATCCACTTCCCAGACTGGAAGTAAATGAGGGCACAATACTCAAGAAGCAACCTAAGGCTTCAACCAAACATGTAGACTGGTTCTAAATCTTGAAAATCCTCCAAGGAGACCACATGGACCATAGGGGAAATGTTATTAGAGTCACAAACCAGCCAACCTTATGCTATGTTACAAAGATCTTGTACTGCACTGCACGCTGCAGCATCTGAGATACGCACCAACTGACTTGCTTGAACATTGTACGATTTGAGATTGATGGAACATTACTGATTGTATTAGAAAAATTCACTTCGTTACATGCTTATCGTCATACTCAATATTATGTGAAATAGTAACATTCAATTCTAACTGATAAAGTTTGTATCTCTTCTTGTAATTTTCCCTGTACTGGGTGGTTGTACTAACCTCTAGAAGAAAACAAACTTTCAATTTTAATTTGTTTGATTCTTCTCACATTGTCTCAGGAATATGGAAGACTCAACTGGACAGTAATATCATGACCCGCAATACTATTATGGACTCTTGGCACTAATATGTTCCTTTTGGACTTGGTCAAATTAATTTGATAAAAGCATCAAATCAAATTGTCTGATTTATGAAAAGTGAACTGTTTACCTGCTATTTTGAAAGAGTCACTTTCTTCTTTAAACAAAAAAAAGTCGGTGATAGGCATGATTCGGTTAACAAACATTTTGCTTCATCCTGGATCAGTCTTTATAGTATTATATCAGGGGTCCTATGAAGTTTACATGCATGTATAGCAAAAGAGATCCTTCAAATTCACCATGATTACTCTGATCATGAAAACTGAATGCACTCATTTAATCTGTACTCTGGTAATCCATTGTAGAAGACATCCAAGTGTGTTCATAGATAAGAGGGAGTGCACTGCGAAAGGCTCCTGTTGTTGACTGTACATTGATTTAGTCGAATGCTCAGCATTATGCCTCTCTGTTAAAAGGTGATGGCATGGTCTATCTTGAAATGACTTTCATGAAGCGGTTTATAGAAGAGAAGATTCCAGCTGCTTGATCTAACAGTGAGCGACCGTTCTCTTCCTTCTCATCCACACCTCCAAATATTATCTGAGAAAGATCAGCACGAAGTATCAGAGAGAGAGAGAGAGAGAGAGAGAGAGAGAGAGAGAGAGAGAGATCATAGTTTTTCTGTGGGAAACTTATGAACAAGTTAAATTACAAAAGGTCAGGATTACAATGCTACAGGAGCCAACAACGAAAGACTTACCAGTTGCATATTTCTCACAGAACTATATAGACTTCTAGAGAATGTATAACCACTATATATATATATATATATATATATATATATATATATATATATATATATATATATATATATAAAACTATGTATACCGGCTACAAAAAGTAAACATTGAATCTGCCCGGCTATTTGTGTAACAAGCCCTAACTAATACTACTTCATTACAGCCTAACTTAAATATATAGAAGTAGAGGAGCAACAGACCTCCAGATCTTCTGTAGTTGGACGGCTGATCTGTTCCTTGGCAAGAAGATATCTGTTTGGTCGGTCCTTATCATCATAAAACACTTTCCACAATCTAGAGTAAACCAGAAAATAAGTAAATAAGCATGTAACTAGAGAACCAGTCCTTTAAGCCATGTAGTGTTGTGATTTAAGTAGGTGAATCCTTACCCGGGATAACATCTAAATACAGCACCAGATGCTAGAGGTCTCATCGAGTAAGCAACGGTGAAGGTGCTGCAGTGAAAAATATACATTGTTGCTGTCAGAATATGGTAAAATCATATAGAGTTTGGCAAGTTTACATTGACAAGAAAAGATGGAAAATACATCCCCAAGCAAAGATGGTGTAAGGTTGACTATAAAACAAAGAGTTCCTTTTGAAGAAGAGAACTGCTAATCAACGACAAATCATATGGGAAGCAATTTTTATTAGAAACTAAGAAGTTGCTCAATGGCATGAAGACGAATGGTGGTTGTACAATCATTAACTTGTTGTCAGTGGTTATCGTGAGGAACCACATTATTTGCATTAGTAGTTCATATTCAACCCAAGGATAATGAAGGAGGAGGGGCATAACAATTGCTTGCTCATCCATGGGAGTTTAAAACTACATATGATAGAAACATTTGGTCAACACACTAGAGATCAGCTAATATAATAGTAAAGCCAAATCATAAAGAGCCCTATTTGTGCTAAATGATATAAGTAAATCTTATAGGACGACTGAGCTGTAACACACAATACCTAACTGACTTTCAGAACTGAAGAAAAACTTCCCTATCAGAAACCAAAATTACCTTAAAAAATTGCGCCGCAGCCTACGTACATTGATCCCCACTCCGACATCCTCACTAATCAGACGAGGGTTCCACATGATAAGAGGCCTAGGCTAACAAAATAACCACAGACCATTAACAAAAAACAGAAAATAAGGTTGAAGAATAACAGAGGTTCAATTTTCTTTTGAAAAGGAACAGAGGTTCAATTTAAGCATGTGAGAATCAAGAAAAACAGATGCTAGCATGCAATCAAATAGCCTGCGACTTGTATTCCTCTTGACTAGATGCTACTACTGTCTATAGTGGGAATAGGTTTTTTTTGAAAAGCATGAAGAGCAAAAGCTTATATAAAGTTCCAATCCTCACATTTTTGAGAACTTGTGCAGTCGTAGCTCCTATTATTAAAACCAGATATTTGTAGGATCTATTTTTGTAACGAGGAAGAAGATCAAGGAGAACGTATAAATTAGTGATAAAGAATACCGCCTCATTTTACGGCCACGATTTACACAAGCAGTTATCACTAGTTTCAAAAAGTAATGTAAAGAATAAAGCTAGTAATGTACTATAATGACTTTTAGATAAGCAGTTACTGATGACTTTTAGATCAAGTACTTTGAGGCTAAGTTGTCACTTTAACTGTTTATGGAAAGAGACAGATAGAGAAGAAGAGATAGCAGTTGTTGAATAAATAAGAGACACAAATATAAAGCTGAAATCATAAGCGTACCGGGTCATCTGAGAGATCGGATGCAATTTTTTCTACATATCCCAGCATCTGATAATCAGGAACTACCATGACAACAATTTCGTCTTCCCTAGTGACTGGCTTCCGATCACCTAGACTGGACCAGTAAGTACACGAAGAACAGTAACAAAATGTTAGACAATCTACTATTCATATCATATTATGATCTCCTAGTTAAAAGGAACTGTATTCAGGTATTCCACTGACAGAGAAAGCATTTCAGGAACTCTTATAATTTAGGAAGCACTAGTGATCAGATCATTAACAGAGAATACTCATCTAACAAAGTATACCTGGAGAATCCAAATGTAGCATCTTTCCACTGATATTTCAGAAGTGCGGCAGCTCCAGCATCTGGAAAAATGGCTTTAACTCTCTAGCAGTGAAAGTTTTAGATCTTAGTAATTGGACATGGATGACAAAGAGCTAAGTCTATCTTTGCATACAGTAGGGGGCAAGAAAGAAAATATAAAAACGGGGCCTGAACCTAGAAGCAATCTGAGTTATGTTCAGCTGGCATTATGAATGTTACTGAATACTGCAAACAGGATGAGCATACACAAACATTGAGTAATAAAAGGGATTCCTTTAAAACATCAGAAATCTCAACTATTTCTTCACCCCTGTGCAGATAGAACTCTTTCCAACTTTTGTCATAAAGTTTATGGTTTCAGATCTATATTACTCCTCTTCCCCATTTGAATGACAGTTTTCCATTTTTGGGATTTCCCAAAATGTCGACAGTGTTTTCAATATTTTAATTCCATTAAATTAATAAAATTTCAACTTTCACTATGAAACTAACTTTTCTGCCATTACTTTAATATTTTCTTACGTATTACGAATTACGTAATATGTATGCCAATCTCCCTGTCCTGTCAAATACCTTCATATATAAAAGGGGACAAAGGGAGTATGTCACAAAATCCTGATACCAGTGTTATGGCAACTTTGAAGCTAACCTGGCATCCTGTCTCCTCAATAAGTGTTTCCAAAAATACCCTTGATAGTTCCCATAATTCAGCTTGTGCACCCTCATCGTCAAGAAACTGAAGCTGTGGTATTAAGAGCTCAACCTGAGCAAGAAATGGACTTCCACTGGTTAGTTTAGGCAGAGGCGAATCTAGAATTTTAGTTCTATGGGTTCAACATTTAAAATTATGGGTTCATATCTACTATTTATTGCAATTTTTGTGATTTTTTCGCATAAATTTATGCTCCGCATCGAAAGTACAGGGTTCAGTTGAACCCGGTAGTTCTATGGTGCATCCGCCCCTGAGTTTAGGACTCAAGGTTAACCCATCATGCATAAACCAGTACAATTAATGGGCAAACAAGAAATAGTGCTAGAAGTCCATAGAGCATTATGTATAACTTTTCCATTATACAGCAGAAGGATCAGAAAAAATGTGTCTTCTCTGCCCGCTTCAACCAAATGGATGTTAATCCCTCACCTCTGAATATAATGTACTCATCATTTTATGTTGCCGTGCTTAGAAAGACAGCAGGATTCTGATAGTTCACTAAATTTGGAGGAATTGAGAGCACAACAAAAGGTGAAAGGCAGAATGTCAAATTGAAGAATGGCATAACATATAACTGAAATGTTATCAGATTAAGAGGGGGCATCAAATAAATTCGAAATTCATCATCTAATTGTTAGCGACAGAAATAATTGACAATCAATTAAACTGCATTAGTGTAAAATGTAGACTTGCTAAGACATACTATGGCTCTCATTCCTCCTGAAGATACAAAAGTGGCAGTTGCTTGGCCCGACTGCTGAACGGCACCCTCCAAATCAGAAGGCAGGCAACTGAAAAGGATGAAAAAGCAAAAGGAAGAATAGCATGCCATTAACAGTCATTTCTATACCTGCTCTTGAAAATATCTAATAGACAGCAGCACCATATGTATGAGTTACAATATTCTTTTGATTAACATGAATTAATGATTACTAGTATAGATAAGAAAGCTTCAAACCCACTCGTCATCTTCTTCTTCTTCTTCTTCTTCAATTGTTTGCAATTGTGGGTCTAAAAGAGCTGGCTCTGTGGAGTCTTGTTCAAGATTATCTTGGCCTTGAAATTTGTCAAACTTGGCTTGGGCTCTTGAGCTGGAAATGGATTTTTGGGGTGAAATTCCAGTAAACCCACGAGCATTTGAGGGAAAAAGAGATGATGGTAAGGGAATTGTGGAGGATGGTTTGGGTATTGGAGCAGAACACCATGAGAGGCTTGAATATGAAGAAGATGCCATTGGAGCTTTCAAATGCTCCACACAAACCTCCTACGTAGACGAGATAAGTTGTGAAGTGGTACAGTTAAATATGAAAGACATGGAGAGCCACAAAACTTGTCTTAAATTGACAATTTGGTCCAAGAAAAAAAAAATGGAGGATAAAATGAATGAAATTTGCAAAAAAAAAAAAAAAAAAAAAGATCTCTCTGATTCACTTTTACATCTATAATCTATTTTCTGTTTCTTACGAGCTGATATTATTTTTCTGGCTTCTCTTACTGTCACTAATCTATTATCTATTGTTCATTTTCTTCTTCTTGAGCGAGGGTCTTTTGAAAACAGCTTCTCTACCCCTCCGGAGTAGGGCTAAGGTTTGCCTACAACCTACCTTCCCCAGACACCACTTATAGGATTTTACTGGGTTGTTGTTGTTATTGTTGTTTCTCTCTAATTTACATTCATCCCATGTATGAAGTGTTAGATTAGTCAGTGTTTGATGGGAGTATTTGAGAAGAGGTAGTTTTGTCCCTCATTGGAAAAAGAAAGAAAGGAAGAGGTGTTTAAAAGCATTTCTTTGTCTTATATAGTTTGAATATTTTGAGGGTGTTTTGGAGGAAAATTGGAATTTGACTATATTATTAATAGTCAAGATTGGGCACTTGGGGCAATTGGGTTTTGGGCACTTGGGGCAATTGGGCTTTGAGCCAATTAAGTAGCCCGAATTAATATTTTAGCCACCTATTTTTTGATTAATTAAAAATGTTTTACCCTTTTAATTTCAGAAAAACGTTTTAATATTTTTATTTTTTATTTTTAAATTCAAAAGAAGGTGACTATTGGTTTTAAAAGCTGTCTATTATGAAGAGATGAGTTTGTTGATTCCAACAGACTCCTAGAGGTATTATAAATACCTATTTCATCTCCAAAATGAAATCATCTGAAAACTTTCATCTCTTTCTCTTCTACTTATTTTCTACAACTCACCAATATTTTGTTCTTGTGGGAAATTCGAGTTAATTGCTGAAACTCGGATTTCAGAGGCTTTGTAGAATCCTGGAGGAATTCTGCATAATCCCTGCAGCAACGAAATTGGGAGGCTTAAATTCCTTAAGGACAGTGATTACATTATCAAGGCCTAATTATTTCGTCCCATATTCTATTATAAATTCTAACAATCTTAAGGAATTTACACAACACCGCAATGGAGGCTTCTGGTAGTGATTCTGGTTTCAACAAGATGTTCGAAGTGTTCAAACTGGATCGATTTGATGGCTCAAGTTTCACCCGCTGGAAAGACAAATTGTTGTTCTTTCTCACGGAGTTGGGAATAGCATATCTGCTGAGTTCTGATCTTACTGCAATGCCAGAACCTACTGCTCAAGACTCTGACGAAATTAAGGCGGCACGCAAAAAACGTGAAGATGATGAGGTGCGCTGTAGAGGTTTTATTTTAAACTCACTTTCTGATCGTTTATATGATTTGTTCCGTCCTCACAAATCACCACAAGAAATCTGGAATTGGAACAGAAATATACTGCTGTGAAGCAAGAAACAGACAGATTCCTTGGAATGAAATTTTTTGAATTTCAAATGATAGATGGGAAATCTGTCATGGAACAGGTTGATGAGTTGCTTGTTTTGATATCTAGACTCAAAAATTTTGAAGTCGACGTTTCTGAATCTCTTCAAGTGGCTGCTATACTTGCAAAATTACCAGCCACTTGGAATGACTATAGGAAAAAATTATTACATTCTTCCGAAGACTTTAATGTGGACCAGTTGACAAAGCATATTCGGATTGAAGAAGAGTCACGAAAATGTGAAAATAAATATGCTGCGGAAACTAGTTCAAAGGTGAATTATGTTGAGTCTAGTAAGGCAAACAATTCAGGAAAATCTGGAATAAGGCTGGAAAGAAGAGAAAGTTTGAGGCTGCTCCAAAGGAAAATTCTTCCAACATTAAGAAAGGCCCGTGTTATACTTGCGGAAAAATGGGTCATTTTAAGAGAGATTGCAGGTTTCGTAAGAGACAGAAAAATGAAGAAAATGCTGGACAGAAGAGAGTAAATAATGTTGAACAACAACAAGCTTCTTCTTCGGATATTGTTGCTATGATTTCTGCCTTTACCAACTTGAATCTGAGTATGGTAACTGAATGCAACATGGCAGCAACTATGAAATCTGCAGATTGGTGTTATGACTCCGGTGCTACAGTTTATGTATGCAATGACAAGAGTTTCTTCAAACATTATGAAGTTGCAACAAGTGATGAAAAGGTTTTAATGGGAAATCATGACACCACCAAGGTCTTTGGAAAAGGAACAGTTGAACTACAATTCACTTCGGGAAAGAAGTTGATTTCATCATGTACCTGATGTTAGGAAGAATTTAATTTCTACAAGTTTATTAAGTAAGAAAGGCCTCAAAACTGTTATAGAGGCAGAAAAGATTATTTTCTCTAAGAATGGTGTATTTGTAGGACAAGGCTACTCTTGTGAAGGCATGTTCAAATTAAGTATTAATAAAGTTGAAGTTTCTACTTATATGATTGAGTCATCTATTAGTTTATGGCATGCTAGACTTTCACGTGTTAATTTTCGATATGTTAAGTTTATGTCTAAAAATAAATTAATTCCTGTTGTTGAGAATAATGATAAAAAATGTGAAATATGCATACAAGTTAAGATGACTAAGAAATCTTTTCCAAAGAATGAAAGAACAAGTAATCTACTTGAACTTGTGCATTCCGATATATGTGAATTGAATGGTCATTTAACTAGAGGTGGAAATATATACTTTATTACTTTTATAGATGATCATTCTATACACATGTTTACTTAATGAAAATAAAAGATCAAGAATTTGATATGTTTAAGAGTTACAAAGCATTAGTTGAAAATCAATTGGAAAAGAAGATTAAAATTCTACGTAGTGATCGAGGAGGCGAATATCTTTCCAATGAATTTTCTGTATTTTGTGAAGAAAATGGTTTGATTCACCAAGTTAGTGCACCGTATACCCCACAACAAAATGGTCTTGCTGAAAGAAAAAATAGAACGTTGGTAGATATGGTTAATGCCATGCTTTTACATGCAAAGTTACCAACGAATTTGTGGGGGGAGCTTTGTTAACGGCTTGTTTTGTGCATAATAGAGTACCTTCAAAGAAATTTAAGGTTGCACCATATGAATTGTGGAAAGGAAGAAAGCCTAACTTAAATTTCTTTAGGATATGGGGCTGTTTAGCCTATTATAGAATTCCAGATCCTAAAAGGACTAAGTTAGGACCTAGAGGAATTAAAAGCATATTTGTAGGATATGCTGAGAACTCAAAGGCATACAGATTATTGGACATTGAGTCTAAGTATATTGTGGAATCTAAAGATGTTGAGTTCTTGGAAACAAAGTTTATTGGTGATTCTAATAATTCACATGAGGACACAGAAATTACCAAACAAGTTGATAATGCAACAAGCATTGGTGATAATGCAGTAACTCAAGAAAATTGTGCAGAACCTAGTTCTTCTTCTAACAATAAAAGAAAGGCAATTGAATCTCCTGTAGAACCAAGAAAAAGTCAAAGAGTTAGAAAAGAAAAAAATATAGGTTTTGATTTTATTTCTTCTCAAGCACTAGTCTTTTTGGTAGAAGGAAGTAGAGATGAAGTATTAAATAAAATACCCATTATTTTAAATTTAGAAGAGGATCCTAAGATCTATAGTGAGGCTATGGCTTCGCGGGATTCTTCTTTCTGGAAAGAAGCTGTGAATGATGAAATGGATTCTCTTTTATCAAATGGTACATGGGTATTGGCATATTTACCTTCTAATACTAAACCTATTGGGTGTAAATGGGTTTTTTAGAAGAAAATACGATACTGATGGTTCTCTACAAATATTTAAAGCTAGACTAGTAGCCAAGGGATTTAGACAAAAGGCAGGAGTAGATTATTTTGACACATATGCTCCTGTGGCCAGGATTACCTCAATAAGAGTATTATTTGCTTTGGCATCAATATATATCTAAATGTCCATCAAATGGATGTTAAGACGGCATTCTTAAATGGTGATCTTGATGAAGAAGTTTATATGGAGCAACCCGAAGGGTTTGTGCTTCCTGGAAATGAGAAGAAAGTTTGTAAATTAGTTAAGTCCTTGTATGGATTAAAACAAGCTCCAAAACAATGGCATGAAAAATTTGACAGTGTTATATTATCAAATGGTTTTAAACATAACGGAGCGGATAAATGCATTTATCCCAAATTCACAAATGACTATGGAGTGATAGTATGTTTTTATGTTGATGACATGCTAATCATAGGAACTAACATGCAAGGCATAAATGAAACTAAGAAGTATTTAACTTCTCAATTTAAAATGAAAGATTTGGGAGAAGTTGATACTATCTTAGGTGTTAAAGTTAAAAGACATAGTGGGGTTTTTGCCTTATGTCAGTCTCATTATATTGACAAGGTTCTTTCCAAATTTAATCATTTGGGTATTAAAGAATTTAATACTCCGTTTGATGCTTCTAGCAAGATGGTTGAGAACCCCGGAAGATCTGTTAGTCAATTAGACTATGCTAGTACAATTGGTAGGTTGATGTATGCTATGCGCTGTTGTTGGCCTAAGATCAGTTGAAGTTTTGAAGAATGACAAACGAACTCAGTGAAGGACCAGGTTCATCTAAGGAGACACAGTTGTTATGGCCCATACACATGAGATGCACGTGAAGAAGATAAGTCCTTGAGATCAAGCAGCAATATCTTGATGAATATCTTCTGAACTGATCGAAAAGATTGCATAGAGGATAAGGAGTTGAAGTCTCCTTATGAAAAGAGAATTACATCCGGATCAAGAATATGGATTAGGAGTTAGAGTTGTTCTTGGACTCGAATTGTCAAAGGATCCACAATTCGAGTTCTTATCAAACTCTGATTACTAACTCTATAAATATAACGATTGTTCTCTTTTACAGGTGAATGCACATAAGCAGAAGTTAAGCATATTAGAGAGCAAAAAGATCAAGTCTGATTTGCAAGCAACATATGCGAGATACAAGTGTGCACGTCTGAAGCTACATGAACT